CTGCTGCTGCTACTACTACCGCTACTGCTGCTGCTGCTGCTGCTGCTGCTGCTGCTGCTGCTGCTGCTGCTGCTGCTGCTGCTGCTGCTGCTGCTGCTGCTGCTGCCGCGGCTACGGCTACGGCTACGGCAACGACATCACCGACAACAGTATCAACATCAGCAGGAGAACCACCGCCACCATTACCAAGAACAGCTACTGCAACAATAACATAATAACATAACATAATATCTGGCCACAACAACACCAGCACCCACACCACCACACCCAAAAAAAGCCTCAGACGCTCCGGAGCGTCTTTGGGCAGCTACACCCGCTCTGAATCTTCTGGTGTGAAGCTTGAAGTGCATGTGCAACGCATCTAAACCCTAAACTCTAAACTCTATGCCCCTATCTTATGGTTCCTTACTCTGATGGCCCTTCGATCTAAGGACTTTTGGACCTTCTTCAGCACCTACCAGCTTATCGCCGGTGTGGGCTTGCTGGCCTCCTTCTTCGCTTTCCCGGATGCTCCCTTCAGCTGCCCCGAGGTGGAAGTTTTTGCTTGGTGGTCTTCATCTGGCCCCGTGTAGGGTGAGATAGGAGCTTGAATTCTTAGTAATGCCGTTTGGGGGGTGTGTCCTTTTAGTATAAGTTGACAGGATTATACTGCACCCCCCCAAACCATATTCTTATCATTATTGAGGTCCCGTTGTTGTAGGAGCTACGCCCTGAGTGGGGCCGGGAATGTCGAATTTCCGTCTTTGCCGTCAGGAGTTTGGCTTGTCGCTGCGAGGGTCTGGGGCTTGCTGAGGAGTCGATACATCGACATGAACTATATCCTAGAGCATGTAGACACAGTCCTCGAGTCCTCAAACCCCACATGCTGCTTGAAGGGAGAATTTAGGGTTCAAGGTGTTCCCTTGCCCTATTTTATGCTTAGAGGATAGAGGTTCCAGGGTCAAGGCGCAGGCTTTGAAAGCAGGTCTCGGCTTTTGAGGTGCAGTGGCCCAGACTTGCAAACTCTCTGGATTTTTTCAGCTCGTGCTCCAGCTTTGGAGGTGATTGAGGTGCAGGTGTGGGGCTACACCTGTACAGGGTGCTAGGTTTCAGACATGTTGTCGGGGAGCTTCCGATGAGAAGGGATCGCTGAGCCCGAAGCCCGCAGCATTTGGCTTTCAGAACGGGATCCCCTAGTTGTCGGAAGGCCTTGTGGTATGCAGTGAGCTGTTGCTCAGGCTTCAAGTTCGGCTGACAAAGCGAGAAGATAAAGCCTGGCCCGAACATGCCCGAACACCGAGAAGAAGCCATGAACTCATCTGAGCGCTCATCCAGAGTTGAGCGGTTTCAGGGCCCCTGAGCCCGAAATCTCAACTGTAAAGGTTCTCGGCCCCCACCCACACTGCACCCTTGTAGCCGAACTGGCGAAGTTCGCTTCAGCGCGTCGGCAGCAAGAGCTTGAGGCCATATCACCTGAACCCTAGACCTTACAGCCCAAACCCTGTGATCTCAAGATAGCGTAGAGTCTGACTGTAGTTGATGCTTTGAGAGTTTTAGGGCGCCCGGGCAGAGGACACTCCTCGCTGCAGCTTGCCCGTGCCGCCCTGTGGACGGGGTGCCTGCGGGAGGCACGTTGCAACTTCCAAGGATTAGTGATTACGGCTTAGGGTTTTGCTTTCCATGATCAACGAAAAACAATCCGAAGCACTACGAGTTTGGACAACACGCGCATAATTTTAAAGGACGCATGTGCAAGCAAGTGTAAGCACGCATCGAAGGCTGCTAGAAGTCACCGCGGGACATCCCAACCCGGCATTCCAACCAAGACTCGGCCCACCCAAGGTCACGTGAAGAATGATAACTGGTAAGAATGAATAGCATTAATAGTAGTAGCAGTAATATTAGCAGATTCGCAATACCAATAGCAGTATGCTTAACAATGCCAACAATAATAATGAGAATCATAATGGCAGTTAACAAGATAGTACTTAGTTGGGTTTCAGGGTTTTAGGGGTTAGGGTTTAGTGGTTTAGGGTTCAGGGTTTAGGGGTTTCAGGGCTTCAAGGTTTTAGGGTTTAGGGGTTTTAGGGTTCAGGGGTTTTAGGGTCCCCAGGAGGCCCCAAGAAACCTCTTACTCCTTATGCCTTGAGGCCCGAAAGCTCCGCCCTGCAGCATCAAGGTGGCAATTTGGGAAACTTTAAACGTTTCTCTAGAGGTACCTATTCATAAATACTTTTCAGGGCCCCCAAACTACAACCCAGGCATGCCTTTGCGCCGCTTCGGTTTTCCCGGACCTGGTACTTTCTGCTTTGCTTTTCCCTTTCGGCCACGGTGGCTGCCTGGTGCGGTGGGACCTTCTACGCGCAGCTGAAGGGCAGCACGGCTTTTCACCGTGCTTTTCGAGTTTTACGGTTTTGGGTTTGCACTCCCAATCGTCTTCAGTCCTTACTCCGGACGTTTTCGTCAACGACGACACCCCACATGCAAGAAACTCTCCAAGCAAGCTCCGGAAACTGTTTTGACATCTAGGCCAAGCAGAAGCCTCAGAACGCAACGTCACCGCGTGGGGCGTCATGCTGTCGGAATCGAAACACAGCCCTAAACCTGGAAGTTGCGACGCTCCAGACAAATAGAAGCCGGCAGCTGTACAAGCCCGCAGTATCCTTGCCATTGATCTCTCGATCATAATTAGCATTCATGCTCATTAGCAGAGCAGCGTCTTGACGCTCGTATGCTCCCGAAACTCTAAACCGGAGACAGCATTGGTGTGTTTCGGCGAAGCAGTAGGCAGACCCGATCGGACCCATCGGCGACAAGCTTTCTTATTCGCGCAAAGTGAGCAGGACACCTGTTTCAATAGTGCAGAGATCACAAGAGCCGAATTTATCGCATCATCTTCATGAGTGGGGTTGATCATGCAGAGCATCTTTGTGACCCTTGCCATCATGATCATTATCTTCGGCCTCACCATCATCTCTACTCTAACATCCGCAGCAGGACGTCATCACCTTCAGCACAAGATCAGATGTAGTGCATCACCGAGGCAAGGACCATGAAGCGGTGGATCCCACGATGAGCCAATCCCTCATCTTCTGGATGCTGGGCTTTGTCCAGGTCTTCGGTTCCAGGAATTCACGGCTTTCAAAGCCGGTCCTCCCGCAAAGCCCCAGCCCCGAGTCACAGTCGCCGGAGCATCAGACCTCAGCCGTCGACCTCCAGACTTGTCCACACATTTACACCTCGAAGGGCGTTAAATAGGAATTTCATCGTGGGCTTGGTGAGTTAGGGCCGGGGAAATTCTGAACTGCCTGATGCCTTGCAGCCTTGCACATCTCGTAAAACTGCTTGGCGAGTGTGTCCAGGTGTCCCAAGAGCCTTCGCTGCGGATTGTCAGGTTCAGGATTGAAGGCCGTATGGGTAGTTCTCTAAATTAGTGTCCGTTTTCAGGTCCCCGAAGTCGTACGGCACCCTTATAAAAAGGGCCCTAAAAGCCACCCTAATTTAAAGAACTACCCATATCCACCCCGCAAGACGACAACTAAAATGCTACTCTGATAACAAGCCAACTTTTTGGGGTGGTTTCACCATGTTGGGAGTGAGTTTAAATCGCAACACTCACGTTGATGCATGGGGCCGAGGATGCCATTGGCTTCGAACTCCACCTTCCTTTTTACTCCCCTCATCGGGGCCCTCATCGACGCTCGTGGTTGCTTGGTAATCCACCTTCTGTCAGTTTGTCAGTGGCAAGAAGCAGTCTCCAACCCAGAAGCGCAGTGATTCGTGGAGCTGCACTAGCAGCAAGTAGTAGTCGTAGGATTCGTAAATGCTTCCCTGCCGCCACCACAACCTATGTAGCAGACCTGCGTTGGTTGTCTGCACAGAGGCTTACGAGTTTCGCTGGAGTTCGGAATCCCCATGCTCGCCGCTGCCAGCCCGCCCTTGGCAAATCTTGTAAGCATGTGGTTCCTGAGGCTTTCGACCTGCCATCTTCTTGCTGCTGGGCTGAAGTCAACGGGTCGAGCACTGTTGCCATGCAAAGACCGGTGCGACAAAATCCTGGCAAAGAGACAAGCAGCAACACGGCGCAAGTACACACATAAACACACACACAAAAAAAAAGCACTGACCCACACACAGATGTACACACAAACTTACCGCCATATGTAAATACGTAGATGTAGATGCAAAGACCTGTGTTTGCGCATATGCGCTTATGTATATGCACAAGCACGCATACACGTGCAAATCCACACGGTGACCACTCCTGCACTTACTCACTCGTCCTTTTTTCTTACATATGCATATACACGCGTACAGGCACGACTGCACATATGCACATACATATGCATGTACATACCTATGTGTGTATATATACATACACACATAAATACACACATACAGGCGAGAGAGAGAGAGAGATAGTGCATCGGTGCACGCTGCAAATTGTTCCTCCCTGCTGCTATTCGCACATACTGCCAAGCCAGGTCGCACGGCCACCGGGGTTGTTCAGATGGGCTCCCAGTGAACTCCCGTGATTCCTCAGCTCCTCTACACTAGTCTAAAACACCCCCAGTCCCCTTGTAGCGATTGAGGAACAAGGCTTATGAAGGCCTTCGCGAACCCGGTACAGCAAGTTTGAGAATGATGTCCCTACGCACTTCCAATTTCAAAGCTTTTGAGCAGCAAATGCATGCAATGGCAACAACTTTTGCACACTCAGAAACACTACATTCCGCATCATGTGAACAACACATCAAACACATCATGTACGAAGGAGCAGCATGTGTGGTGACACAGAAGTAATGGCGCAAACCACCCGCATGCATGCACGCATGCAAAGGTGTGTGTGTGTGTGTGTGTTTCTGTACATACATACATGCATACATACACTCGTTCATTCATAGATACATACGTACTGTGTACACACACGAAACAACCAACTGCAACAAAGGAAACTAAAAATGAACAGCAAATCAGAGGCCAAAAGCACAACAAGAAGAGTTTGCTGATGGCTTACTTGCCTGGTGGGTCTCAGGCTGTGCCTGGCGACCGTGGGCTGTGTCGCATCGGTTTGGCTCTTGCCTCTTACGTGGCAGTGGCTGACACTACTCTCTCTGAGCCTGAGAAGCATTTCCTAGAAATCTGTGGATTCTGGCTGTTACGGCCCAGGATTCCCGCTTGTGTTGACGACAGAACGGGATCGAAGCTAGAACAATCTCATGGAATAATCTCATTGGGAAGAGTAGGGTCAAGAGACACACGTTGAATTAAGGTCTGGCTTGGGGGGTCCCTTGTACAAAAAACTCAGACGAGTCATATCTGACCCAAGACATCCTAACACAGGGCCTTGGCCTAAGGTTGTTCCTACATGAATTGGAACTTGTAATAACTTGTGTTTTTTGACTGGGCTTCCAGCTGAGAAGGTTTGATTTTCAGAGTCAGTGGAGCTTAGCAACACCAAATGTGAGGTCAAAAGGTTTCGCCATCCGCAGTATGTTAGAGAACTTTAAGTTATTACTCGTTAAGAAGCTTCGACCTGGGTGATGACCCCATGTATATATACATATATATATATATACATATATATATACATATGTATATACATATATATGTATTCATATGTATGTATGTATGTATGTATGTATGTATGTTTGTATGTATGTATGTATGTATGTATGTATGTATGTGTATGTATGTGTATGTATGTGTATGTATGTGTATGTATGTGTATCTGTAAGTGTATGTGTATGTGTATGTGTATGTGTATGTGTATGTGTATGTACGTATGTATGTATGTATGTATGCATGCATGCATGCATGCATGCATGTATGTATGTATGTATGTATGTACGTATGTGTGTATGCGTGTATGTGTGTGTGTATATGTGTGTGTGTATGTGTGTGTATGTGTGTGTCACCGGGTTCCTGGTTCTCGAGACCCCGCCGCCTCAAGAAAAGGGGTACCTGTGTCGCTCCACAGCGGGGTATCGAAACGAATACCGGAACAAGCGGTTTGAATACGAAGGCCAGCCGGAAGCCACTGCAGTACTCGAAATCGTTCATCCGGTATGCCATCATGATATTTGAGGTATGCCATGGGAGGGTGAGTGGGGGAGAGGGTTCGGCAACCCTGGCGCATATAAACCCCAAACTCCGAAATCCTAGACTAAAAGCCCTGAGGAATTGGCTGCTGGCTGTCACTTATTCGCTCCAATTGAGCTACATTACCTGCAAATACGCCGCGGATCAGTTCGGAGCAGCCACCTGATCTGGATGTAATGGGTTCAGGGTTGAAGGCTTCGGGTATCGTATAAAAGTTGGAGTATAAGATCTGTGCACGCCTTGTCTCCGAACGAAAACACTGCCGGAACGGGCCCACCCGCATAAATCAGCCCTTTATGTGAAAGGTTCAGAGCAGGGTTTAGCAGGGTTTGGGACTGTGGGTTCAGGGTTGAAGGTTTAGGATACGAGTTTCTAAGCATTGGGACAGCTAAAGAGCTTTATGGCTGAGGGGGTTCTCAGTTTTGAGTAGATCAGGAGTAATTGTCTTATTTAGGTGTCCTTATGATAATGATCCTGCGCCGGATCCTTCATCTTAGGCTCTGTATTGTTGCTGAAACTCCGATTGGTGACGTAGGACTTTGTTGTTCCAGACTCCGCTGTGCTGGTTCTGGCTTTCGTCATATCCATCACAAGCCGAAAGAGCCTTCAGCAGAAGGGCTTTCGTAGGAATTGGGCATCCCTTCCGGCTCCTTCGGCTCCCACTCAGAGTAGTTCAGCTCCGAGAGCTCTGTGGGTTTTGTCTTGCGAGCGGTAGCACCCAAAGGCTGCGATCCGCATCTCGCGGCGCTTCTCAGATTGAACTCGACTCGTTGAGTGCGCGTACGGCATACCCTGAACAGCCGAAGAACAAGTGCAAGACAATCTTTGCCTGCCTGGTAAAACTTCTAACCCCAGTTCAACGATTCGCTAGAGCGGCTAGGCAGGCCTGTGGCTTCAGAAGGCTGAGGTGAAGTAGGGTTCGGTTTGAGGGCTTCGTGTATCCATGGCTTAGGAAGTCCAGGTAGTATATGGCTAGGGCGGCTAGGAGTTGAAACTCGCAGACAGGACATGACCTGCCGAAACCTTGAAGGTGATGTCTTTCAGCACTGTGATGCAGAGTGTCATCAACGTGGCTTGGCACCCTTTGTCGGGCAGCTAGCAGGTAGAAGGCGGGAAGGAAACGGGCTGGTGATTCGCGAGTCTTCAGAGCTGTAAACGTGTACAGCCTGTTTTGAGAGCTAAGAGAAACTTTTACCCTCGTATCGAGTTTAGACAAGTCCGAGAGAGAGCTCAATCTCGGTTCGGCTGCGAAGATGGGGTGGCCGCTCGAGCATGGGTTGGGCAAGGAGACAACAAGACCGGTTGCTCAAAATAGCAACAGCATCATCAGTGATCAGATCACGCAGGATCGGGGTAACACCAACCGTACGGTGAACCGTGGGTGAACCGGCGGGTGTGCCAGCGGGGTGGAGATGATCGGGACAGTGCTGCGCGGTGGGAAGGTCGTTCTTTCAGACCCCTTGAAGTTTAGGTCTGTGAGCCGTGCGGGCATAGGGGGTGATCCACGCCAGCATGGAGTTTGACCGAGCAAGCATCTAAGTTGGTTGGTGTGTACCTGCTGAGCTGCCCACCTTCGCGCGCGGCAGTGGCTCGGCACAGTTCGATTTTGGGTGCGTAAACCCGCTTGCACCCTGATTTCAAAGCAACAGCAATCCTGGCTACAAGGCGTAAGATCATCGGGGTGGAGTTCACGTCCTTAAAACCATACAGTATGTACCCAAACCTGAAAGCGTGCAGCTGGAGCAAGGGGGTCACGGCTGCAATTAAAACGCAGTACTTCGAGGCAACGGGCATTGGCACTCTGCTCTGAACTCTCGACTCTACACCGAAGAACCTGTTGCAAGCATTGGCTAAGATTTCTCTTGTCTGAAACCCGTTCATTTTGAGATTCTCAACCTTTATGCCATTCTTGGTTTGGGAGCCTCGGTGCGCTGCACTAGATCTGTGAGACCTCCCTTTTCAGAGCTTCCCCTTCCCTCCCACAGAATCTGAGCTCCGCTGTTCACCCCCGACCCTGCAGCCTTCATCGCCTAAACCCTTGAGTCACTATCATTGTGATCGAAACATGTGATATATAATGTATAATGTACGTATAATCATGTAATAATTAAAAGCATATCAGATATCATTTAAGGGTCCGTCCGACAGCGAGTCACAAATCGGTTCCATCGTTGCGGATGCAATCGCAGTCTAAGGTTTCATGTTTTGGAGTTCCGGGCCGGATGTTGTATTAGCATGTCGGGGTGCGCTGTTGCAGGTTGCGGAGTCGACAGTTTGCGGATGGGGTCTGGGTAATTCGGCATGCGTGCTTTTCTTTGTATGTTCGATGCACAACAGCACCACTGCACCACTCACTCAGAACTCTGCCAAGCGTCTTCAGCCAGAGAAGGCCTAAACAGCTAATTGCAGCTCTGTTGGGCTACTGAGTTTTCCAGCTTTGGTGGTTTCGGGTTTCTAGTTTAAGGAACCTGCAAGAGCGCAGAGCTCTTACCGAGGCCTGCTTTGTCCCTGCCTGTGTCTTCTTCTGTGCCCTCTGGGCCCGGGACGAGCGCCGAGCCAGTGTCTGATTCCAGCATAAGAGGCCAAAGGGGCAGAAACACAGCATTTAGATTTGGGCATTGGCCAGCGGGGGTTATAGCCTGACATAAGGTATACTGAGCTGCCCACTGGCCTCCAAGCACAGTAGCTGCGTGAAGGTTTCAGGGTGAAGTGATAGAGTTTAGAGCTCAAGCCCTACACTCTACGGCTTTCTCGTAGTTCCATGGCGGAGAGGAGGACCCAGAAGCTTTCCCGGATTTCCCGCGGGTCGACGGAGTGTGCAAGCATGTGGCAGTGCCAGACATCAGTGTTTAGGGGTTCATCGTCCTATTTGGAACCTTGTCAAGTACCTGGACAAATTGAGGAGAGAAGGCAAATTTCGATTTCAAATTGTACGAGACACCAAGCCCTAGCCGAGCTCACATTCGGAAGGTTTTGGGGTCATGTCAGAGCCCCGAACCCCAACCAGTAGCCGGACCCTTCACGCGCAGCGTGCACGCTCACTTCGCGGCCGGCTTCCGAACCCATGGCGGTTTGTTTGAATAGGGGCTTCTTGGATGTTTCTCGGAAACAATGGAAGCCCACTACAACATGGACTCCCCAATAGGACCTTAGGTCAGGGTACATTGAAAATAACTTGGGCCAACTTCAGCTGTGGATCGAGGCATGAGAGGCTTGCAAGCTGAAGCCCTTTCTCCTAACCAGCCTTTCCTTCTTGAAGCTTAGTCAGTAGTCGCACGTGCTACAATAATCACTGCCACGCAGGCTGTTCACAGTTGTATACAGTGTACCTTCATGACCTTCCAGTAGAAGGCAGAGGAGGAAGAGATAACGATAATGCGGTGCCGATGATGATCATGATGATGATGATGATGATGGTGATGATCGGCACCGTCATGATCATCACCGCCCAGTCACCATCCTCATCGTCATCACCATCATCATCACCATCACGATCATCATGACAACAACGACAGCAACAACAACAAGAACAAGAACAACAAGAACAAGAACAAGAACAAGAACAAGAACAAGAACAAGAACAAGAACAAGAACAAGAACAAGAACAACAAGAGCAACGAGAGCAACAACCACAACCCCAGCGGCAGCCACAACCACAACGACAACATCAATATCAGTCGTGCTATGATTCGTACTAGAACGAGGTGGACAATCAGCGAGCCTTTCCGTTACTGCAAGAGATCATAAGATGACGATAATTCCAGAAATCTCTGGCGCCTATGCTGGTAAAAGCCAGTGATCCTGCGTCAGAGCAAGCAATGCTCGAGCACAGACAAAAAGCAATGCCTCAGCACCGCGCCCAAACCCCAAACCCTAAACCCTCTGAGCCTGGAGCCCTTGAGCCCTGAAGCCGAAAACCCCTAAACTCTAAACCCCTTAACCTAAACTTTAAGCCCTAAACTCTGTTAAGCCTAGAAGGTCATGAAGGAAGCTCTAAAGCCCGAATCCAGGGTTCGTGACTTCTCAGCAAACACCGGGCCCCGGTTTAAGGCTTTAGGGGTTTTGGGTTAACGATTCAGGAGTTTAGGGTTTAGTATTCAGGAGTTTAGGGATAAGGATTCAGGAGTTTAGGGTTTAGGGTTAGGGATTCAGGAGTTTAGAGTTTAGGGTTAAGGATTCAGGATTTAGGACCCCGACCACAAACTGTTAGGCTGTCTCTAGAGCTGTGGTGTCGGGTCCAGGGTTTAGCAGCTCCGGACTACGGTAAGCGAGAGTCCTCCCTCTCTCTCTCTCTCTTTTCTTTCTCTCTCGCTATCTATCCATACAGTCCATACATGTATATATATATATATATATATATATATGTATGTATGTATGTATGTATATATATATATATGTACATATGTATATATATATATACAATTTCTCGCACTCTTGCTTATAAGTAAGCTGGGTGCGAGGCGGGAGCCCTAAATCCCAAACCCAGGGTGAGGTGTACTACTTGGTGATGTTGTCGTGTCCGTACTACATTCCTGTATGGTCTTGTACTAATAAAAGTAGTGTTCTTTGCAAGAACCCTGTATCGGAAACGCGTTGGACAACTTCAACCCTGAGTTATCAGCCCAAGATCTCCCGGAGCTTGGCTCCTGAAAAGAGAAGCCGGCCCTTAAACCCAGATCCGAAAAGTCCAGTAACATACCCCGGTCCTTCAAGCGTGACTTGTGCTTCTGAGAGGGTGGCCAGGAGGCTGGAGGGGCCGCTGGTGGGTCTGCGGGATGAGGCAGGCAGCTCTTTTTTGCAAGATTCGCCAGCAGTTTGCAGGTTTGAGGCCGAGGGTCTTGGTGATTTCAGTGGTTGCTGGTTCCTATGGCTTTGTTTGCTCTTGCCACATGGTTGAGACGTCGTAAGCAATCTATTGCTACCGATGCTATACTGACTAATGCCACCATCTTCGGTGAATTGGTTGTTCTATTGATGGTGGTGATGGATGACTTTTTTACTTTTGTCTCCTGTCCATTGTGACACGTAGCTTTTCGGGTTAACGTTGACTGTTCCGACTACATGGGCATGTTTCAGTCGAGTTAGAGTCAATTACGACCATTGGTTGATCTTGGTGTTTCGCCAGGTGTTGTCAGCGTGTCTCTGTGTATCTCCATCGATATTTCCTCATGTTCGGTATTCAAGTTCAAAGATGCAGTCATGAATGTGTTATTATCAGTACTATTATTATTACTGTTATTTATAATTACTACTGTTGTTTTTAGTACTATTGTGAGTGTGCTAAGATTGAACCCCACAAGCGCCGTCAGATGGGCACCCGGACCTCGGAGACGCTAATGGGCGGACTCGAACCGGCGCCCCTCGGCGAGGGCTTGCTCTCCACGGTTTAGAGTTTAGGGTTTAGGGTTTAGGGTTTAGGGAGGACTTGGGTTTTGCGTGGTGCCGCGCCAGAGTTACAGGTTGCCGCGGGTCTTCGAGGGCTTTGTGTACCGAAGTTACCTAAATCGCCCTGAAGAGGCATGAAGAGGCTGAGTGCTGAACTGACTTTCCAGAGTTGCGGGCTGAGGATCATTGGGGTTGACACTGGGAGATGCTGCTTCAGGTCTACGGATTGGGAGCCAGATTTATTGGTAGCAGCTGCGACATTCACAGGACTATGTAGTGCATGTCCATTTCTTTGCAACCCTACAGCACTGCCATCAGAAGCGCTTCTACCTAGGTCGAAAGCCAGTCTCAGACATCCGTAATATAGGTGCCTTAATAATTACAATAGGGTTTTGGGCCCATTATACTATAATTATAATAAGGAACATAATAATAATAATAATCATAATAATAATAATAATAGCAACTATTTAGGCCCCTACATTACAGTAGTAGCCCTGGCCGTAGGTCTTGAACGCGATCATTTCTGCCTCTAGCCTTGCCCTGCAAGATCTTCGAACCTGGAGAATCCTTGAAAAACAACCAATCAGTAAAAGACAACTACTAATAAAGAGTACAACATCAAGCGTAAACATCGTGAACATGGCCTACAAACCGTGAGCCTACGGCACCTGAGTTCCAAATTCATGATTCATAATAGATTGTAAACCCGTCGTTTTGTCTGTTGATCAGAAACTTAAACCCTACACGCACATCTCTGTCTTGCTGCAGATACGCGGAGTCCGAGAACCGAGACCCCAGACCCTAAACCCCAAATCCTCAAGCCAAATCTCCCAACTTCCAGGCTTCTTCACGTGGGATCGGTGATTGCTGTGGCCAAGCCGGCGGGGTGGGAGGCCAGGGTTCTTCGGGCAGTGGACTGTGGGGGGTTCTTGTGAGTTTTTGATGGATGGGGTGTTTACTGCATTTCAAGTAGGCTGTTTAACAGGTCCATCTCCGAGCCGACCAGACAGTGGACAGGTAGTCAGTCTGTTGACAGTTGTAACACTAGTTTCCAGGTTTCTCCGAAGGCACGGATCAGTCAGGCAAGGTGGCGGGTGAGGTGGAGGAGCAATGCATGCTGGTTGTTGTGGGTGTGGTCCCTAACCGCTCTAAACCCTACGACGCACCACGAGCCGCCAGTGCATGCATTGCGAGTGCGATGTTTCAGATTCCGAGCCGGGTTTGGAGTGGAAGAAATCGCAAACATGGGCTGGGCACTCGAGGCTACAGTTGTGTATAGCAGGTTGTCCGCAACTCGAACTGTAGGAGCGCGTGAAGGTTTTCATGGTGGGCCTTTTGGGTTCCACGTCATCTCTGCTAAACATCTTCCTGCTTTTTGCCCGTTAAGCTGGAGCTCCAGCCCTGACCTGAAGCGACTTTGAAGCCTCTGCACACCGCACGCAATGGGCAAGTGTCTCATGAAGCATGCTCTTGCAGGTGTGGGGCGGCCACCATCCACGGCAGCTGTGGCAGCACTTGCAGGCTCGTCCCTGTTGTTTTCTCAAACCTGGCAGTGCTTACATGGGCCGGAGGTTTGGTGTCGAAAGTCCCGAAGACTGAAATTGTACCTCAAAGCCTCGAGGCCGTGGAGGGTCTGCGCCATGGCATCCTCCGCGATGCAGAGCATGGGCACGGCGGCTCGCATAATGGTGGCCGAGTCCGAGCCAAAGCAGTTGTAGCAGTAGGAGTAGGCGACGACTGCTATTGCTAGTGCTACTGCCACCACTACTACCGCTCCACCTCTTCCTTCTGCTGATATGACTGCTGCTGGAGTTGATTCATCCATTTTCTCTGGTTCTGAGAGTTTCTGGAGGCTAAGGCTAAGACTAAGAGCTTCATGCATAGAGCGATGTCCATGAAAGCCTGGGCTTCGCTTCAAGAGACGTAGATGAAACCTGCGAAGCAACAGGGGGCACAAACTGGAACAAGCTTGTGCGGCTCATGTAGTGTTGGGGAACTCCCTCGGATGATTCCATTTCAGAAAATCTTTTACACAGTGCGGAGGCTCTGGGCCATTCTAAGCTTCATCGGATCTTTCGGAGTGACAGAAACCACAAAAAAAAGCACCCTCAGGCTGCACGACATGACTACCTTCACGCCGTCGAATTGAGCTTCTCTGCACCCGAGCCCGTTCAACACCATGTGTGACCACACTTAGCCTAAAGCCAAGGCTATCCACAAACCCCAACTTACTTTTACAGGAAGCTACTAGAAGCGTCAATTGCCGAGCCAGAAGTGAGCTCCAAGCCCAGGTTTCGTGCACCGACTGGATGTGCCAGGAAGCGGGCTGGTTCTCTTTGCCTGCAGTTATGAGGTGCCCGAGGGCCTCCGGGGTTTCACTCGTGGGGGTCGAGGGGAGTTTGGATTACTGCTGCAGTCTGCTAGTCTTACAAGTGCAATTGGCAGCGACCTAACTGGTACGACCAGGTGACTCTAGTGTTTGCGGACTACGGCTTTCGCCTTGTAGGCTTATCCAAGCCCCGCAGCGAAAAGACCAGGCACCAGAGCTTGTACCCCTCACCCACAACCCTAAACCGTGTCAAGTGTCAAGATTCATAACCCCAGCCCCAAACACAAACTGCACAGCAGAGAAGGCCTACTACGACCTTAAGCTGCAGCTGGCCCTGGGGCAGCTCGAGCGGCGCTACACGGTGTCACTTGGAAGTCGCAAGCAGAAGCTGGAGCTACCGTAGTTGCAGCAAAGATGCGCTGCCTGTTGTGAAGATGGTAATTTCTCTAGTTCAGTTGTCCACGGCTTTGACCAGTCTTTGCAGCATTTGCATTTCCATTACGAGCATTAGCAGTTTCGTCAGGCGCTCTCAGGCTCAGGCACTTGACTTTTGCTGTCGCTACGTGACCCTTCAATCCTAGATTCTGACTTTCTCCTATGGTTGTAGGAATGGCTTGGGTTTCGGCGCTGAATCTTGGAAACTACCTGGAGCCTTGTACGCTACCGTTTGCATTGGGCGAGTGGCCTTTAGCAATAAGGTCTCAAACCGGAAAGATGTTACACAAGAGAAAGCTGCAGAGTAGAAGCAGCTATGCCGCCAGGACTTGAAGGTTAGGGTTCGGCCTAGAAGTATACCAAGCGTGCTGAAAGCGAATCATGGAGGCTCAGCCACGGCCTGGCGACCTCCAGGAATGTGACCGCCCACGTGCATTGGAAGGACCAACCTCGACCCAGCATCGAGTTGAAACCCCACGCCCAAACCTGAACGACCAGAGGAAACCAAGGCGAGAAATCACAAAGGGACCCTCTCACCTGTCACCCGCTAGATTTAGAGTGTGTTTGTGCTGATGGATTGACTTTGCGGCTTTGTTCACACGACTCGCAAATGTGGCAAATGCAGATGTTCAAAATAATTTGGCAAGGTTGCAAAACGGTAACTACCACGCAGCAGAATGCGTTGAGACGGGGCATATATGATCGCCCCGAAACCTCTCGAAGAGGCATGCAGATGTTGGCGGTGAGCTGAAGCGTCGGTCGCCATCGCCGTGGTATTAGTTGGCGTCTACCTGCAGTATTAGCAGCTGCGGCAGATGTGGTACTGGTAGTAGGAGTGGTGGTGGCAGTGACAGCGGCAGTGGTGCTTGTCGGTGGTAGTCGTCGTTGTCGTCGTTGTCTTCTTCGTTGTCCTCGTTGTCTGTAGTGGTAGTTTGAAGATGGCTTGGCAGCGATGAGGATGGTGATGATAACGATGATGACGATGATGAAGGTGATAATCACGACGATGATGGTGATGATGATGATGATGATGTTGATGATGATGATGATGCTGATTATGAGTATGATGAAGACGGTGACGATGATGAGGTTTGGTTGTGACGGTGCGAAGGCAAGTTTGACCACAACGACATTAGCAAGGTCTTTTATATCTGACGTCTTTCTCCGGCGCATTTACTTAAGTACACACGCGCTCTCCCTGGTCGCTGAGCCCTCAGCCCAACCAGCAGCTAATTTGCAGCAATTGCCGCAAACGCTTCATAGACCGAGGTGCTTCACCCTTGAAACAGCCTGTTTTGCACCACCCTTGCGGATCAGGACCGGGGACCGAAAGGCATTCGTGAGCTGCCTAGTGTCTCCGGTGGCCGGGGGAAGCCTTGCGGCTTCTCTGACGAACTTGGATCTAGAGCTTTCGGGCTTGATTTCGGGCAGTGGTGGTGAGTTGAGTGCATTAGGATTCGGAGGCCGAGGAGCTTGGGTTCCAGGCACGTCTATTTGGGGTTCCAGGACGATTCAAGTGCTGGGCATTAAAGGACTGCTTGCTGCAGGGGTCTGCAAAGCAAGCGATCGGCGTTTCCATGTACAGGGCAGGGCGGAGACATAGACGGTTTGAACACAGATGTCTGTGCACCTCAGTATTGAGACAGGGCAGCGGATGGTCATGGAGGGCCGCCGAACATATCGAGGTGTTCGTGGGAACATTTGATTGGCATGTAGTGTCGAGACTTGAGCATGTGCAGCTGCTAAGTGGCATGGTTGCAAGCCATCTTGCAGTCAGGCCGTTTGCAGTAGCAGTGCTGAACGCGACCTCCAACCTTCAGCGTACCTAAACCATGCTGCCAACAAGGTACCGAGATAGTGCTACGGACGCATGGTTTCAAGGAGGGTCGAGAGCCCTGTCTCAAGAAGTTTCAGCTTCGCGTTCCTGGGTTTGGGGGTTATGGTTCCGGGAGGTTTCAGATTTATTGTGTAAGGTTAGACCTCTGATATCCTGTGATTATTATATCGACATGAAGAGATTATTTGGTTCAGCTAGACCTGTATAGTGACTGTATATGTTTCTGTGTCTGTGAATGCGGGTATGCATATACGTATACAGTTAGATATATATAGATATATGCACATGCACATACAGGTGTCTGTAATGGTGTTAAGACTTTAGTCGACATGCATGCTAGAGTGCCATTCCCTATACGTGTGAGGCGCTTTCGCTGCTTACGATTCGGATCCGAACTGGACGGCGGCATCAAATCCGGTCTCACTGTGCGCATATCGGTCCCTGGCATGCATTCAAAGTCTTCTTCGAACCTTTTTATGGGCGGAGAAGGTCGCAAGGCACAGAAGCAGTGGATATAGCAGAGGTCATCCCACTGTCTACGACGGCAAGTATTCCACTTTCGACACTTCCTTTGGCGATGCCAAGTGGTGTGAGCAGAATTGCCGCACGGAAGCACTAAGACCTGAGCCTCTTCTTCTTCTGCGCCCTTCGGAAAGCTCAGTAGTTCAGGAGTGTTTATTTGCGGCCGGATTAAGTCTCGCAGGTGGCAGAAGTCGAAATCGCTACAAACCTCGGAGCTTTGAAGAACAATCAACATGAAGTTAACAGCCAACCGACAAAGCTTGAGCCGTGAAGGAATCAGAAGGAGTGTGAGGTTGAGTTGCTGCCTAAGGGGCCTCGGAGATGCAAGACAGTGGAGCTTGAACCTCGGGTCTAGCCTAGCCTTAACAATTCATCACTACATACTCTCTCAAATAGTACAAAAGTACTATCGAAGCCCTAAACCCTCATCCTCGAACGCAGTGGCTGCAACAAATGAACTCCTGTTGTCATTGCTTGTTAGTGCCGCAGTCATCATTACTCCTATGAGCTACTACTATCATATAAACGAGGTTCTAACGTTTTAGGGTTTGGGGCTCTTCCCCAAACCGCAATGTGCCGAACCCCAAGCTCAATTCTACACCAGCAAACCCGAAACCCTAAACCCAAACCCTACACCCTAAATCCTAAAACCCTCAACCCTAAACCCTAAACCCTAAACCTAAACCCTTTGAGGCCTACATCGTTTTCAACTTCTTTTCCGGTCACGAGAGGGGCTACCTCGAGAGGCGATGCAACGAAGCCTCAAAGCCTAAGGCCCCAGCACCATAATAAAATAGGGGCCTTAATAGGTTTTGATAGGATTTTGGGGCAGATGATACCATAGTTATAATCAAGGAATCCCCATGACTAGCATTAGTAAGATTATTGAGGCCCCTATATTAAAACGAACCGGATGTATTGGTTGGACACGCAGATGAGAGGAATGAAGCTTGGGATGCCCACAGAGGGGGTGTTGCCTGATTTGGAGTAGGTTACAAAGAGTTCTTGTTGTGAGTGTGCCACAGTTGTTTCGGGCTCCGAACAGGCACGACCCCATGTCTGAAGAACTATTCCTATGTTCGGGAGAGCACCACACATCGCACCACTCTGCCGGGAGGATGGGGGTTGGGGCGGGCGGATGGGCATACGAAGGACGGGGGTTAATGCTGTAACTGGAGTTTAAGGCTTCAAGGTTCAGGAGTTTTTAGGGTTTCCGGGTTTCCTGCGTAACAGAGTTTTGTGGTGTCATCTATGACAGAGAACACACAGAAGGAGCGTGTGCCCGAAGAGAGGAAGTACAAGGCAGTAGACGCAAGTAAAACAGTTGCGACGCAAGATCACTGTATTATATATATATATACACCGAAGATACCTTGAAAGTCAGAGGGAGGACATACGTCGAGCAGTATACAGTCTTCAGGGACTGGCAGGATTATCATCCTCACATCGTTTGTTGCGCACGCATGCACTGTGTGTCACAGTATGTTTCCTAGATTACTCAAACATAGGGGGACGAGATACGTTCTCCACTTTGGTGCAAGGTAGTTTGATGCTGGAACACAGAGCAAACATTGCAAACAATGCAGCAAACAGAGCTTGATCCGAAGCACTGAAGACCCAAAATATCCTGAACCCTAGACAGAGCCATTACCCGACCTTTGGCAGGCACCCAGGTGACTTCAATCGTGATTCCTGAATCCCTGACTGTCCTCACGCTTTAGAACCCCTCAACACCGATAATCCCCCCAAATGCATAAACCCGACAGACCCAGAGCATGACGGCCTTACATCGTCGTCCTTAGCATGTTTACAATGCTTCCTAAACCCTAAACCCTAAACCCCCCTCCGCTTTGCTTTGCAGATGCTCGCGCCGCTTCCCGAGCCTTTCGCAAAGCTCCTGGAGGCCAGCTTCCGGCTGCGGGCTTCGGATGCAGGTTTTTGGGCTACCATAGGGATTATTAATTAGGGTTCCCTAAGCGATTTGTATTTCACAGCACAAATCCTTCCTCTGAAAATCTAATGAAGGAAATAGCTCGGCTGAAGGCAAGACGCAAACAGGGTCAAGCTAGGCGGGACGCAAAGACTGCACGTGCTGGTCGGCTGCAGCATTCTTGGTAGCCCCAAAACCCTCTGTCTCCAGCTGAAGTTAAGATTGTCAGATGATAGATCGACAGTCGCACGGACAGACAGACAGATAGATAAGGTAGATACGTGGATAATTGGGTAGGCTGATAGGTAGATAGGTGGATAGATAGGTACTAAATAAATAGGTAGATGGCTAGATCGATAGGTAGTTAGATAGGTAGACGGATAGAAAGATAGACAGATAGACGGATAGGCAGGTAGCTAGCTCGCAAGCAAACAAGCTAGCCAGCTAGCTAGGTAGATGAGTAGACAGGCAAATAGGTCGGTAGGTATTTAGGTAGATAGATAAATAGATAGATCGCTCGTGGAAGCCCTATAAACAACAAGCTCTTGCTTGCTCGCCACTGGCATGTGGGGCAGGGCAGACGGGGAGGTCGGGGGATGGCCATTGCCAAGCTCTCGATCCTAGCTTATAGTATGCGATGAACGAAAACAGCTAAATGGATAAAACACATGTCTAGATAGATATGTGTATATATATATATATATACATAAATCGCTCAATGGATAAACTGAAATATATACACACCTGATATAACACTAGACTCTCTCTCTCTCTATATATATACACATACGGCATAACATACCGGTTACCTTAGACCAGAAGAGTCGCCCAGATAGCAGGCCAGAGACACCGGAGATATGTACAAGATCCGTGCATACGTACATACTTTACACGATGAAGGCATACGCTCGGACCTGCTGAGGTCAGATAGCAAGGCTACCGGCCGTGTATGATCAGTGCCGTCCGGCGTCCTCGCCAAAATTCTCTGGCCTGCCCCACAGACCGCCCATGGAATTTCATAAATGATTCTCCGAGCTGCCTTGGTGCCAGACCCTCGAGACAAAAAACCTCGAGCAGTCCTGGGGGACACTCTGAGGCAGAAGCCCGAAGGGCATTGGGTTTGGTGCTTGCAGGGTGAAGGGTATGGGGGTTTATGGGTTTGCTGCGAAGGTGCGGGGATTTTCAGTATTCCGCTGTGTGTTGCCTGGTTTGGTATCCGCATTTTTGGAGGTTTTTTCCGGCTTACTATTGCTGCAACGACAGCAACAACAACAACAACTACTACTACTACTACTACTACTAATTTTTACTATTGCTGCAACGACAACAACAACTATACTAATTACTATGACTACTACTACTACTACTACTACTACTACTACTACTGCTGCTACTACTACTACTACTTCTGCTGCTGCTGCTGCTACTACTACTACTACTACTACTACTATCACTACTGCTACTGCTACTGCTACTGCTACTGCTACTACTACTACTACTACTACTACTACTGCTACTATCA